ACCGCGCGGGGACCCTGCCCTGGAGGCAGCCGGAACACCCCGGACTGGGCAACCGCGCGCGGGACGACCGCCCACTTCGTGGTGAGGGAGCATGTTGGCCAATAGCGAAAAAGCGCAGGAGGCTACACCGCGTTTTCCAAAAGGCAGAGTCCAACAGTTTACAGTGCGACTTTGGCTTCGCTGGGGAAAAGCACAAGCAGACGTGTGAGCATGGGGAAAAGATTGGAATTATTTAACAGCGGTCACCTTCAGGTGATGGGACGCGGGGTGACATTCATTGTCTTCTTTATATGTTGTATGTTTTTGTGTTTTCCACATTGCCCACAGTCAACATACATCACTTTTTGAATCGGAAATTGCTCTTTTCTTTTGAAAGGGTTAATGTCCTCTTCTGGGGAGCTCACAGACGGATGATGAAGGAGAAAAGCAAGTGAGCAAGTGACCAGAATGGAGTATGGCGGGTGGGAGTGGACAGGAGCCAAGTAAGAGTGGAGGAGAGGGAGGGGCTCCAAGGAGGGGCCTGCGGATGGGCGGGCAGAGGGCTGGGGGGCAGCTTGGAAGAGATGCTGGAGCTAGGTCTTGGGGCACTCGGGGACCCGCAGCGTTAGGCTGGAAATGAGAGCAAGGACGTCTGTGGGGAGGGAGGGAGGGAGGGAGGGTTGGCACTGAGTTTGAGACACAGAGGCAGGAGAAAGGAAGCCTGAGTTGGGATAGGGGACAGGCCCCCGGGGAGGCTGGAGCCCAGGGTAGTGGGTCAGAGAGCGCGAGACCAGACTGAGCTGCAGTCAGCCAGGCCTGCATGTGAGCCTCTGGCTGCCCCACTCTCTCGTCTGTCCCTGCAGGACCTGGCAGGAGGCCTGAGGTCTGAGCAGCTGGGCTCAGGGAAGGATGGAGAGCCTGGGATTGAATCCTGGTCTGAGGACTGCCGTGGCCCAGCTTTGTAACCTCGGGCAAATCAACTCCCAAGTCTCAGCGTCCTGTAAAACAGGGATCCTGATTTCACCATCAGGTATTGACTGTGTTCTCCCAAGCCTTGTACCGTGTTTAAATGGTGCTCAGGAGACATTTGCTAAACTGGGTTCATGGGAATTGAAAGGAGATGTAATGTTTTTGTTGTTTTTAAGTCTGTTTAACTTTTTTGAAAAGTTTTATTTATTTATTTTGAGAGAGAGGGAAAGAGCCTAAGTGGGGAGGGGCAGAGAGAGAGAGAGAATCTCAACTCGACTCCATACTGGCAGCACAGAGCTGGACATGGGGCTCGAACTCACAAACCGTGAGATCATGAGCTGAGCTGAAACCAAGAGTCGGGTGTGTAACCAAGTGAGCCACGCAAGCGCCCCAACTTTGTATTTTAAAACATTAAATCTCCAGGGTGCCTTTGGCCATTGGCATCTGCTGTCCACACTGACTTAGGGCCTTGATCTACCCCCCCCCCCCAGGGACTGGCTCCCTTTTGGGGGCAAAGAGTAACATGAAATCCAGTTTAGCCAGTCCAGGCAACCCCCTCTCCTTTGCCCATCACTTCAGACCATCCTTCTCCATCAGCCCTGATTAGGGAACATGGGGCAAGCTGAGGACAAAGTACAGGCTAACAGCACCCCCACCCCCACCCCCGGTGGGATATCTGTGTCTTCCTCCGACACTCCTGACTGCTCAAGAACAGGGGAAAAGAAAGAAAAAGCAAATGTCTGACTGATGGAGATCACAGTCCTACAGAACAGGAGTCTCCTTCAGTCTACGGATAACTTAGTAAACTGCAAGTAAAAAGCAATCTTCTCCATAATCTCCAGAAACCTATAGACTCCGTTTCCTGGAGCCCTAATAGCACCCTCACCAAGATGGAAGGGGGTTTAAGTGCTTGCCATGGTGATGTGGGAAACAAAGGCAAATGAAAAATTGAATTCCCTTCCTGCCCACAGCCCAGTGATGAGTCCTTGAAAGGGGCAGAGTGAGCAGCCTCCCTCAAGGAGCTCAGCTGCCTGGACGATGACACTTTGCTAGGGGCAAAAGGGAATCTTGGCTTAACATTATCCTGACACCCCCCCCCCCCCCCCCCAGGATCCTGAGTCTCCTTAAACACATAAAAATTATTTTGCAAACCTTATTTATCTTTAATCGCCAAGTATTTGTTGGCAATTAAACTCCAAGTATATGACTCCTGATACACATCTGAAGGGTCTCATGACTGAGGTTTTACTAAGCAGTAATAAATGACGTTTTGCTAACAACAGCTAGACCCTCAAGGTCCTGGAAACCTTTCTTCTAAAATTTCTTAGAGACTTACTCTGTCCCTAACCCCCTCCCAACCTGAAGGTATATAAATCAGTTACTCTTTGCAACCCCAGTGCAGCTCTTTCTTGCCATGGGTCCCGTCCCGTGCTTTAATAAAATCACCTTTTTTGCACCAAAGACATCTTTGAGAGTCCTTTCTTGGCTGTGGGCTCCAACCCCCCACCATCACCCCAAAACCTCATCAAGCCTCATCTTGGAGAAGGAAGAAAGGAAGGGGAAGCAGTCTCTTCCCAGGTATGGCCAGACCTGAGGGAAGGGGGATCTTTAGAAGTGACTGGAGTTGCTGAATCTGTCAGGACCCAGGGCTCACAGAGCAGTAAGGGAGGAAACAGGCAAGTGAGCAAATATATGCACACACTAGCATAGACCCAGAGAAACAAAGTCACACACACAGATACAGAGATGCACAGAGTAACAGTAATTCAACCAGTGATAGGGACAGAAACACACAATGAGTCCTGCTTTCCTACCAGAGAAAAGCAATCTGATCAAAGAAATCCACTCTGCATCTGGCTCTCATCCCCAGGCAGGAGAACAACAAACCCGTAAAAATATAAGAAAATAAAAGGAAAACTACTCAGCCCTGGGATGCCTTACTTGCCTTCTTTTGTAAAGAAGCATTTGAATGTGTTTTGTTCTTGGAGCTGGGAGGCAAGGCGAAAGGGAGCCCTTTCTCATGCAGGAAGGTCCCTCTGCAGGGTCTCCCCTACACATCCCCACATCCCCCCCTCCCGCCCCCATCCTGCTATTCACCCACCAGCTGAGGTGGTTTTCCATCTTGGGTCTAAGTGCAGTTTCCTCCTGCTTAAAGAGTCCTAAGAACCAGCTTTACTTTTCCATGTGAAACTGTAGGCTGAGATGAAATTAGCCTCTCTCTCTCTTTTTTTTTTTAATTTTTTTCTCTCTCTCTTTTCTTTATGATTATTTATTTTGAAAAAGAGTGTGTGGGAGAGGGGCAGAGAGAGAATACCAAGCAGGTTCCTGCTGTCAGCAAAGAGCAGGACTGGGGCGGGGCGGGGTGGGGGGGGGGCGGCGCTCAATCTCGCGAACCATGAGATCATGACCTGAGCCGCAATCAAGAGTCAGGCACTTAACCGACTGAGCCACCTAGACGTCCCTACCCTTTTTCTTAAACGGGGTGGCTTTATGGAGCAAGAGAGAATGTAGCAAGTGCGAAGCACGCAAGACGCAGGCGCTAGCGTTAGGTGTGAAGCAAACACCTCAACCCACACCGGCTTCCCAGGATGAAAAGTTGGCTCTCGTCCAAGCTTGACACCAAGTAAGAAAAGGTCTGAGAACTGGCCTCTCCCCTCCCTCTGCCGGTGGGTCTCTGGTCAGTTATTGCCGGAGGGGCCTCTGGGGCTCCTTGTCACTCACAGGCCCTCCGTCTCATCCACTTCCCACATGGAGGCCAGGAAGGGTCTGTTCATCTCCCCGGGAGGGAACCCTGACCCTCCAACAGTTTTCTTCTCCCTCCTCTGACCATTCTGGGCTCCAGGCATGAAAGCCTCCTCTCTCTAGTCTGGAAACGGGTAAATGATGTGGATTTATGAGCACATCAGCCCGAAGTGCCTAAGTCACAAGTGCACAAAAGGGCCGGGTAAATATTTAAAGATTAGAGCCAGCTGGGGAGAAACACAAAGGCCTGGGACAATGGGGGTCTCTCGGAATTCACTCTCCCTCAGCTGGGCCAGCCCGGTTCAGTGTTGATGCACTCACCGGAGGCCCAGCCTTTGTCCCCTGGAGGGCCCTCGGCTGCCAGGCCATTCGGAGTTCCAACACAGCTAAAGAAGAGTTAAACAATCGCAGCCACTCCAACCCCATCTGGAGACAAATGGCTGAGTCATTTCAGAGCTTTTGCTGTGTCCCAATAGTTAATTACACGAAGCAATCACTTCATTCCCCTTTGAAATGCATCTGCAGAGACGGCCGGCTGGCGTATTTCTTCCCCGAAGTCACCTCGCGGGCGGTGGCCTCTGCGGCACTCCCCAGTAAACTAGCATTGCTTTCAATCCCTGGGTGCTGCCGGAGGGAAAGGGGCTCTCACCCAGGGCGGAGAGGTTACACAGGGCCATCGCCTGGGAGGGTCGGTAGACTGTCTGGTGCGGCTCTTGTCCTGGGGCCTGCAACCCCCCTGCCTACCTCCTTTCCAGACCTTAGTTGCTCTGTAACAGTTTTTCTTTAGACAAAGTCGAGAAAACCAAAGGGGAAACGGAGAACGAAGGCACAGGCCACTTTTTGCCTTCAATTCCCAAGCCCGAGGAAGCAGAGGACTGAGTGTTCCTTGAATGCCCCCGAGGTCTCCAGAACTACAGAAGGATTTTTTTTTTTCCTTTTCCCTTGAATGAGCAAAGGGCAACCTGGGTCTCCCCAGCGCTTTGCCGGAACTCGTGCTCCTTTCCAGGCCCCCTGGGGAGCCCAGATGCTAAAGATGGAAAGGGAGTCGGTGGCCTACATCCCAGTTTGCATAAGCCCGGCTTCTAAGATAGTCCACGTCCTTCCCAGCAGCCGAGAGGCTTCGCCCTGCTTGCTCTTAGATAAGGGGGGGGGGGGGGGGGGGGGCCCCCCCTCCCCCCCCCCCCCGGAAAACGAACCCCCCCACCCTTTCCGCACCCCTTCGGAGCCCCCCCCACCCCCACCCCGCCTGCCTGTGAGTGTGCTGAGGGTGGTCTAGCTCAGGACTCACAGAGTGGGGGAGGAGGGGACCTGGGTCTTAGTGGGGACGTGGCCGCCCAGGAGCCCGAATTGCGCATAAAGTGGGGATTTCTCCGCGCGCGGGGAAAAAGGGAGGGTGGAATCCTCACCAGGATCTGTTTCAGCCCTGAGTCCTGCCCGACCCTCGCCCGACTTAAGGGCGGTTCTCGGCGGGCGAGCCGCGCTGGGAGTGGGGAAACCCGGAAAGCAGAGAGAAAATCAGCCTAGGCGGGGAGTCGCGGGGACGCCAGCCCGGGGACTTGTCCCGGGATGGGGGCGGGGGGGTGCTAAATGGGGGCGCAGGGGGCGGTGCCGGGGTAGGGGTAGGGGGCAGCGAGGCGGAGGCCCATTAAGTGGGCGGAGGCAGAATTTGACGGATGCGAGTCCAGCCCAGGCCGCCCCACCAGGCTCGCCGCCTGCAGCCAAAGCAGAACATTGCGAATTAGCTCGTTTTGCGGTCAATTTTCCACTGCTTAAGAACACACTAAGCCACCCACGTGAGCGGCCCCACCTAGCGCGACCGGGAGCCTTCCGCTCGGGCTCGAGAGGAGTGACGGCCCCAGGAGCTGCGGATGCTAGGGTGCGGGCAGGGGCGGGCCGCGGGCCCCTTTATGGCGGCCCTAACTCTGGAGAGGGGGCGGGCCGCGAGGGCTGCGCCGAGGGCCATTGGTTTGCTAATGCGCCCGAGTTGAAAGGCGCGGGCGGCGGTTTATGGGGAGGGATAATAATTAGAGGACAAATTGCCCCGCAGCCCGCGCGGCTGAGAGCGGGGGCGGGGGCGGAGGGCGACCGCCGGAGCGAGGCGCGCGCCCAGCTTCCGTGCAGATGTGCGGCCGCTGGAAGCCCGCGCGCAGCGGGGCGCCCGGAGTTTGGCCCCGAGGGGGCGGGCGCGGGCGGGCTTTGTGGGGCCGGCACAAAGCCCTTAACACTCGGCTGCCCCCTTTGTGCCCGGCCCCGCCGCCCGCCTGCCCCGCGGCGCCTTTGTACCGAGCCGCCACCGCCCCAAGCCGGGGGAGCGCACGGAGGCCAGTGGGGCCCGCTCAGCCCCCGGTGTTTCAAAGCTGCCCGGCGCGTGCCAACGCTGGCCGGCCGGCCTCGTCCCCGCCGCCCGGCCCGGCCCGATCTGGCCCGGGGTCCTGCGGCCGGGGCGGACGAGCACCTCGGAACCCCGGCCGACGCAGCCTGGGCCTTGAAAGGAGGGCGGAGCGCGATTCTCCACGCTGCTAGGCGCCTGAGAAGCCTCTGCCCCAGGCAGGGCCCATCAATACTCCGGGCAGGGGCGGGTGTGGGGGAAGAAGATAGCCCCTCTCCAGGGAGCCAGGGGGCCCATCCGGGACCCAACAATCTCCCCTCCCCCTCGCGCTGGGTCCCTCGCAAAGGCCGATTTGTTTATTCCTCTGCCGCAGGGCTCAACTGCAGAACTTTTGCGTCGAAGCTACTTCCTTGCCCTCGCAAGTAGCCGTGGGAGCCAGCATTGTTCGGAGCCCCATTTTATAAACCTTGAACCTGGGACCCTGCGAACCCAGGACAGGGAGGTAACTGGAGATGAGTCCAGGGGCGTCATCCTGTCAGCCACAGCTACTGGAGTCCTGCTCCTGGGGCCCAACCCGGGACTGCAGCAGTCCTGCTGTAGGGCCTAACAGGTCCTGGGGTGGTGTCTCTTCCACTGAGCTCCCTGGGTCTCCAACCACAGCCCGAATAATGAACAGTGTTTGGGGGTCCCAGACCTCCAAGAGCACAGAACGATGCTCTCGCCATATGACCAGTGATCTTTCTCACCCTCACCTTTCATTTGTTGGGAGCAAGAGAAGGCCGGTGGGAATAAACTCCCCGGCTGTGAGGGCAAGTGGCAGAGCCTGAGTTGTCTAGCCTGGAAACTCAGGACTGAAACTAGCCCAGCTGGAAGAGTGTGGGTTGGGGCCTAACAGGGCCAGAGGGCACTTGGGGTCAGGACACACACCTGAGCACAGGAATGCTCCCAGTCCAAGACCCCAGCTAGGAGGAGACTGGCTGTGGCCCCGAGGGCGGGCTGCACGCTTTAATGGGACACATGTCGCTGTGTGGCCCCCTCAAGCCCAGCCTGTGCCCGGCTTTGAGCAGACACAGGCAGAAAATCGCTGCATTGTCCCAACATTAGGACGACTAATGTGGCGTTGCCAGCGTGGCCAGAGCGTGAAACCCGCAGAAAGGCCTTGCTGGCGGGTCCTCCCTGCCTCCGCATCTTCATCAGACACACGGAGGCCTGGTGTGTTGTCATAGTCATTAGCGGGGCTCAGAACCAGCTGGACCCATGGACCTTCCTCAGTGGGTGCCCCCCAGAATGCTTGGAGGCAAGGGACGGCAAGCACTAGGTAAGTGGGACTAGTGAGGCTCGGTCCCTAGGGACACTAAACACTGGGACAGAACAGGGCACGGAGGGATGTGCATGGGAGGGGACCCCAGACTCGGGAAGTAGTGGGGGCGAAAGGGATATGGGAAAGACTGAGAAAGGGGAAGAGGAGGGCCCCTTGGAAGAAAGGAGGGTTCCTGGAGGTAAGGCTGAAGCCTGGGCTTTGAGAGGGGGGTCACACAGAGAGGTGGGGAATTTCCCAGTGCATCCCCCTCTCATCTCCTCCCCCTCGGGGTTCCTCGAGTCCAGGAGCGCCTCATTGACATGTAAACGAGGAGCCCCTATAAAGGCGGCACTGCCTCCCACAGGAGCAGATACGACAACATGGGCACTAAGCCTGGGACCCAGGGCAGCTCCGGTGGCCAAGCCGGCGGCTTCCGCAAGGTCTGGGGTCCTGAAGGGCTCAGGGTGTGGGCCTGCCAAGCCGGGGGTGCGGTGGGGCAAAGGGCAAGAGGACCCTGGCCCTGTCCTATAATGCCACCCCTCTACAGATCTCCAAGCCACTGATGGAGAAGAAGCGACGGGCACGCATCAATGTATCGCTGGAGCAGCTGAAGTCGTTGCTGGAAAAACACTACTCCCACCAGGTGAGACGTGGGCATGTGGTGAGGTGGGGGTGATACGATCCCCAACCTCATCCCTTCCAAGTCGGACTGTGCAGCTAAGAGCCCTTTCCACGGATCTGCAGATCCGGAAACGCAAGTTGGAGAAGGCGGATATACTGGAGCTGAGCGTCAAGTACATGAAAAGCCTTCAGAACTCGGCTCAAGGTGGGAGGGAGTCTGGAGGGGATAGGGCAAGGATCTGAGGGGGGGGGGGCACTTGTGGCGTCAGACCCGTGCATATCACAAGGCCAGATAAAGGAGGGATGGATGAGAAGAGAGCTCGGGGCAGTGGGCAGCTGGGTGAGGAGAGGGCCCCAGATTGCTGGAGGCAGGAGGCTGCGAAGACCCTGCAGGCTAGTGCAGTCGCAATCCCGGTGAGCGAGGGTCTGGACCCTGGGAAAGAAATTCAGGTTGCCTAGCCCCTCCCCTCCCTTCCCCGCCACATTTCTCCCCTCCTTTTCTCTCTCTACACCTCTCCTTTCCTCCTCCCCTCTCCTATTCTTCCCTCCCCTTCACATTTCTCCTGTCCGCTCCCCTCCCCCCAGGGCTCTGGCGGGTCCCCAGCGGAGCCGAGTTCCCGTCTGGCTTCCGCAGCTGTCTGCCGGGAGTTAGCCAGCTTCTGGTGCGCGGAGAGGACGGCGGCGGCGGCCTGCGCTGCCCCCTGGCGCTTGAGCGCGCAGGTGGCAGCACCATGGACAGCGCCAGCCCGAGCCCGGAGGCGCCCGCGCCGCTTGGCTCCTGCGTCCCCGCCATTTGGGCCCCTGCTCCAGCCATCGGCGCCTCGAGGTCCCAGCCACCCCGGCTCCTCTTCCCTGGAGGTCTCCCCGGCCCGTCCTCCAGCGTCCCGGGGCCGCAGCCGGCCCCTCGCCGCTGCGCCGAGAGCCCGGGGCCGGGTCTGGGGGTTTGGCGGCCCTGGTGAGTCCCGGCGCCGCCTCAGACTCAAGGGGGCCCCCTTCTGGCCCCGGGACGCAGAGACTGTTTAGAGCGCGCCTGCGGTGATGGCCGGGACCCCAGTCTTCCGTCTTGGTCCCGTGGCAGGGGTGGCTGGGAGGGTGCCGCGTGCCCGCGAACGCGAGGAAATACACGGAGCCTCGAGGGGGACCTGTGCCCCCCCCCCCCCAGCCCCACCTACTCAAGCTGGACCCGCTCTCTCCTCGTCCCACCTTCTCGCGGGGCTGGGAGGGGATGTCCCAGGCTGCTCCTCTTTCCCAGGGCCCCCGGCGGGCAGCCCGCCCCCGCCCCCGCCCCGCAGCCTCGCCGCTGTGGGAAGGTCGCCGTCGGCAGCGGCGCAGAGCGGACCCCTCGCAGCGAGGAGAATCGCTGCCCCGCCCCGGCCCATTCAGCCAGCCGAGGACGCCCGGTTCCCACCGGCACAAAGCTCGCCGGGTCCCGCCCCGCCGGCGAGGGGCCCCCAGCCCACCCCCACCTTGGAGCTTCTCGGCTTCCACGGGTCCCCACCCCCTCCGCACGCAGCACAGCCCACCCGGCCGGCGCGCTCTCTGAGGCCCGCCCATCTCAGAAGACCTGCCCCGAGCTGCCCCCGCTCAGCAGCCCGCCCTGCCGCCAGATGCTCCGCCCACCGCTCGGGTCACCCCACACCCCGCAGCGCGCGGCTCCTGAGGGTTCCGGCCGCCGGACTTCTTGTTGCCGCCACAGAACCCGCGACCCTCGACAGCCCTCCGAGCGCTCTGCGCCTGTTTATTCTTCCGAAAACGAGGTCATTGCTGTGCTCCGACCCTAGCCCGGGGTCCCGGTGTTCGAGGGGCAGCCTGGGGCTGGGGGATGAGAATCCTGCGCCAAGCCCTGGGAGGGATCCTGGCATTTCCAGCTTGAAATTCAGAATACAGACAGTGGCGAACCTGTGAGATGGGTACAAAGAGACCACGGAAGTCCAAATTTCTCCCACGATGCCTACTGGGGTGCATCTTTTGAACTACAAATACTGACTTTCTATAAAACATTTCCCATTTAGGGATACCCCTGCTTTGCTTATGTGTGCTAAGCCCGTTCTGGTTAGAGTGCGGGGAGAGAGCGGCCCGGCTCCCCCACTCCGCCCATCAGTCTCTCTGGAGCGCAGGCGGGGAGGGGGTCTCGGCTATGGCGGCCGGGGGGGGGGGGGCGCGGCGGCCCCTGGGGTCTCGGCCTCCTGCTACGTTGGGGGCGAGTGGGGGACAGGAGCAGCCGCAGTAATCCCTCTGCCAGCCACTAGGTGGCGACCTTATACCGCGGACCCAGGGAGCGGCCTCCAAACTCGTACCCGGGCTGGAGCGGGTCACCACCAGGCTCGATAGGTCTGGCGCCCCCAGGCCCTGCCCTTCTTGCTCTCCCGAACCGACCTCACAGAGGCTAAACGTCCCTGAAGCCACTCCTGGTGCGGAGGCTGCCAACTGCGCTCATAGTGCTTCTCCTGCTATTAGCGCTGTGGTGCCCACCCCACTGCTCTGTCCTGCCGCTGGTCCAGGCCATCCTGGCTCCCTGGGTGGGGCTGCAACGCTGGCATAGAAAAGGGGCACTGGCCCAAAGGATGGCGCACTAGGAGGACTTCTGGACCCAGAGGGAGAGACACTTGGGGACAGCTGGCTAGCAGTGCTGCTCTATTCTGGAAAGGTGTTTCCATGAAACCACCCTAGGAATGCCAGGTGCAAATCATAGGAAGTTTTTATTGTATTCTGTACAGAAGAGAAATGCTCAGTCATCAAAAAACTACAAACAGATTCCTGGCTCTGGGTGGGTGGTGGTATAAGGACAGAGCTCCCTCCCCTGTGAGCCTGGGGCCAAGCTGCTTCTCAACGCAGCAAATAGGCCTGGCGGCTGCACAAAGTGTGAGGGGGAGACCCAGGCCCCAGGGTCCTCCGTCTGGGGTCCTCCCTCCTTTTTATTTTTGTAAAAACCATAACTGGAGGGATTTGGGGGTATCATGTCTCCCTGCAAGTATTGCCATTGGATATGAAATACAGAGTAAAAACCCAATGTGACAAGTGGGCCGGCCTGAGCAAGGGGTGGGGTGGGGGGATGACACAGTGGCTAGCTGGCGATCTCTGCCCCCACTGGACATGTGGGTCCTTGAAGGCACAGCAGCATTGGCCAGAGGTGGCCCCTCCCATGGCTGGGGCTCTACTGTGGTTTTCTGTCCTGCTCACCTGTGGCTGGCTCCTCCCTGCCCAGTTACCCCACAGCCTAGGACCAGTGGCCTCCAAAGCATAGATGGAGCCAGGTAGCCCCCTATCCTCGCCCCTCCCAGGGCCTCCTCTGGGGCCAAGACCTTGTCAGGGGGGTGAGGAAATGGGCCTGACCACCAGAGGGTCTGGGGCAGCATTGCAATCCCAGGTGACAGAGCAGGAGGGAACACAGGGCCAACAGGCTCTGTGCTGGCCCTGGAATCTGCTGGGGGAGGGGCTGGGGCTGGGGCTGAGGTGTAGGGGCCATTGTGTGGAGGCAGGGGCCAGGATGACACAGCCTCTGCATTTGCCCTTGTCCTTTCAGCTCAAGGTCACAGCTGTTCCTGGGCTTCTCCTTAGCCTGAGCCTAGGGTCTTTCTCCAAAGAATACCCAGCAGGCCCTTCCCCAAGACCCATGGCAAAGCCAAGAGCCCTGTCCATGGGTGAGGGAGGACCCTAAGGCCCACAACCTGGGAGGACTCTAAGCCAGGATTCCTTCCCTGGGGCATCAGGATAAGGAAGCCCCTTTTCCCTTTCTTCAGTTCTTTCCCATCACGGACCCATGACTTCCATGGTGGCAGGGTGATGAGGGTGGGGGGACACTAACAGTGGTCAAGGTGGGTGGTGGAGGAAAAGTGCTGTGCTTTAGCTGGGGTGTGTCCCTGGGGGGCCAGGGGCACTGAGAGTGGGAGGCCTCAGGTGCAGAGGCCACACCGGGCCACACACTGAAGACTGACGCCCCGCAAAGGGCCCACAGAGGGCCCTAGATGCTCTCACACCCTGTCCATTGAGGAGCCAGTGCACAGGGACCAGGAGACTTCTCCCAACAGTCCTGAGAGTTAACATGGTCACCTGCTCAAAACAGATGGGGAAACCGAGGCAGAACTGGTCAGCAGGAACACCTGCTCAGAGAGCTTGTTTGGGCTTTGAAGACCCCTGTGCTTAGAGACCCTCTGTACCCTGCCCCCCACGGGGGTGAGACAGTTACAGTGCAAAGTGGAAAGTAGGGTGTAGCCCGGTGGCTCCTGTAGGGCTGGGCTTTGCTCCGTCTAGTGGTGGCCCTGTCCCTGGGCTCCCGGCCGCCACCCCCATCCCCCCAACCCAGCTGCCCTGGGGCTGTGCGAGGTGCATCAGGGCCTTTACCCAAGCCAGGCTCGCTCTGCCCCGAGACGCGGTACCCAGCAGCTGGTCCGTGCCCGGCGGTCGTCCAGGGCAGCCGCCGTCACTCCAGGAAATGCCCGCGGCTCAGTCACGCAGGGAGAGCTGGCCCACGGCCAGGCGTCACGCAGGCAGAGCTGGCCACGCAGCCAGCCCCGCGTGGCGCTGCCCGGAGCCCGGCCTAGGTCAGCGCGGCATCTTTGGTGCTTTGGTCCCTGCGGGCGGCCCGGCCCGCCGGGCGCGCGTGGGGAGGCGCCGGTAGGCCCTAGGACGCGGAGCCCAGCGAGTCCGAGTGCAGCGTGACGTAGCCCGAGGACTC